CCTCAAGTGACACGTCATCCTCATCTTTTCCTGTCTCTTCCCTCTCTCTTTTTCTTTAATTCTGAAAGCGATTCGGATAGTCGGAGTTCGGATAATTGGAGTTGTACTGTACTTCCAATTATAAAAATGTAACTGTCATAACTATTCATGTTTTGACATTTTAAAATTAAACATTTATTTCCTTGTACGAAGTAAAGGAATCTCGAAAAATTTCGGGTATCATAGTTCAAGGAAAATATCCATTTTGACTACTCTCGAGTCCATTTGAACGGTGTTTTTGCATGATATCTGGACAGAATGAAGGAATCTTTTTCCAAAATGTATTTAAAGTGCATTTAGAAGAGATTTCTTCGTGACGTCTGTCAATGCATATATATGTGTCCCGCATAACTCAGAAACAAGTAAACATAGAACGTTGAAATTGTGTATATGGGATTGCTATAACATGTAGTTGAGTACTGTTTTGGTTGCAGCCGGCCACAATATACCCACTCTGTTACCCGGGGTCCTTGACCTCTGATTTTTTATTCTGATATGTTGGTCAATTGCGCATTTTTTGCTGTAAAAGTGATTGAATTATGTTGTTCTTGTGTTCCGGTTAAGGATTTTATGCCTTTAGTTAATCTGAATGCAATAGCTGTAGAATTATAAACAATCTGAAAGTTGTGTAAGAGCTACTAAGCCTAACGACTTCTCTATTTGTTTACATTTGAAACAATAGAATAGTGAATTCAGTCAGCTTGTACACCAACTTCAGTGTCTTTTTCTCTAGTGGGACCAAAAGCAAACTTTCAATTTTGTGCATCGAAACGTCTTCTTACCCGCTGGTCGAATAGCTTGTTTTTGAGTAGAAACTCTAACTTTAATTGTAAAAATTGTTTTTTATTAATCTGTTTTTAACTATAGTTGGTGTTTTATGTTTTTCTGTATTTTACAGTTTTTAATATAGGTTTTCAAGTTTTTATGCATTGTTGCCTTGCCGCGGAATGAGAGCTGAATTATTTGAATGAGAAAGATATCTCTAATGAAATCCGAGAAAATATGCAGCAAAAATGTGTATAATTTAATAGGCTGTACAAGGAACTCATGCGGTATCCATATCATATATTTTAAAGTAAAACAAGCTTTTATTTAAAGCTTATAAAATAAATATTGAATTGGAAAGATAAAAATAATTTATCATGTAATTTTAATGGGAACAAGAGATTAAATTTTCTTTGCAAAATTCCTCTATAAATTTCTATCTCGTATTATAAAACCTTGCGGCACCCTCAGTAAATTTGTAAAGATAATGGTTTATTTCCTTTTTAGGCGGCCACGTTTATTCGTGATTATAACGGTAACAGTAATTATGTAAAAATAATTATACTGTCTCACAAAAATGTTCGCACACTTTAAGAATTGTAGAAAAAGCTCTGTAACCCAAACTGAATTCGAATATTAAGCCGATATTTTTTCATATTATCTCCAAGTGAGTCTGAATAAAAGTATACTTCTTATTTTTTAATACTGACCTATTTTCTTTTTCTAAAATTGAAAATGTAAGGAGGCATGGATAAAATACGCCACAAAAGTGATCGTGCACCGAAAACGTTTCGTAAAATTTCATAGATAAAATTGACATATATCACTTTTTTTATTTTTGTATTTTGGGTACGTTTAAAAAATTGTTTGGCTTTATTTTTGCTTGCTTACTTCGTTATATTTTATTTAATAATTAAAAACAGCTCGTAGGAAACAACGAACAAACAGCATTCGGAAATTGATCATCTTTCATCATAAGGATGGAAATTCAATTCGGGATATCGCTAGATTAGGAAATTTATCCCATTCTATGGTGCAGTATTTGATAAAATGCTTTAAAGAAGAAAATCGGATCCAAAATAAAGTAAGAAGAGATTGTTCGGCAAAGAGGAATCGATGTGACTCAACGTGATCAGGTATTTATAGTTAGAAAATCTGTGAAAAATCTATGTTTGAGTGTTTTACAGATTTCTACGGAATTTAATTTAAACTTTTCTACTTCAATTTCACTTAAAACTGATTGATGAGTACTCAGATCAGCTGGATTACATGGGCAATCTGCGCGAAAAAAATTTTTTGGAAGTGAAAAAAATAGAAAGCTTAGGCTTTTCTTCTCAAAATCAATGGTAAATAAGCCCGAAGCGTATTAGAATCATGTATTATTTGCAGATGAAGGCAAATTTAACATTTTTGATTCCGACAGGAGTATAATTGTATGGAAGAAAAAAAAATGAGGAGCTTAATCCCAAGAGCTTGGTTGGTCAGTAAAGCATGGCGGTGGAGGTGTTCTTGTGTGAGGGTGCTTGTCAGGATTAGGATTAAATAATTCAGTATTTATAGATGGCACAATAAACGATGCTCTTTATTTAAATATTTTAAAAGATAATTTAAAATTATCCGCCTAAAATTTGGATACTGGAAACAACTTTATTTTTTTATCAGGATAACGACTAAGCACATGGCTCCCAACGTTCATTTTTTGGGTGTCCACAAGTTCGTCTTTTTTGGTGTCCACAAGTTCTGAAAACATTACTTAGTCTTCAGATTTAAACCCAACAGAACACATCTGGAGAGAATTAGAGGTTAGCGTACGCAAACACAACATTAAAACAAAAACCGAACTAAAAACAGTAATGATGGAAGAATGGAGGAACAGTGATGCAGATATTACAAAATAACTGTTGAACTCTATGGCGAAACATTTGAAAGGTGTGATAAATCCTGGAGTACATACTACAAAATATTAACTGATAGAAATGCTACAATATTTACTAATATGTGCAGATTCTTAAACGTACGAGATTTTGTGAGGTGAATTTTCTGCTACCTTTGAATTATATTTTCCAAAAAACAGTTTTAATATGCTCTTAAATAAATAATGTAGCTTGCTAAGAGAAATTTATATTATTTTATTTGAATTATTTATATTTTATATTTGATTTATATTATTGATTTATATTATATTATTCTTTATTAAATTATTTACTATTATTTTGATTATTTGATATTAATTATTTATATACTTGTTTATTTTATTATTAAAATAATTATTCTAAAATGGGAATTTTTATTATTAATAAAGCAATATTTCACTGAAACGTGTCCGAACACTTTTGTGAGCCACTGTATTTAATTTCTTGTTCTCATGAAACTATATCATAAATATTTTTTCTTCTTTTAGTTTATTAATTATTTTATGAGTTAAATAGCCAAAATTTCATTAAAAGCTTAAGGATAAATTTTCTGAAAAATTTTTAAATAAATTTTTCTTCTTTTTAATCTGAATTACAACGTTATGGATTAACGTTAATTAATACAACGTTAATTTTTCATTAAGTTGAAAAATCGTTTCTCAGAAATGAATAATCATTCTTTTAGTTAATTCTCTTATTTATAACCTTATGATAAAATATATTATTCCTAACTTGACATTAAAATTTACATATATTATACGCGATTAAATATGTAAGATAAAATGAAATTATACAGGTTAAGTTCGTATGCTTAAGATTTTTTATCGTCATTCTTGTCTTAAAAGAGAGCGAAATATTTTATTTATAACCTGTAAACATTTCAGTTATTTAAAACTGATATATATGGGGATGTTATAACTTTAAAAGTCCCATAAAAATAATATAATGCTGTGTTTAAGAGCGACTAATGACTTAAGTGACAAAAACGAAGCACCCTTTAAAATGAAACGCGGATAAAGTATATATAAACGTATAAAATGGGAAAAATTAAGATGGCTCAACAGATTTCATTGCAAATATTTTGAAACGTTAATCAATCGTTGAACAGTTGTTTTTGAGATTAACTGCCTAAAATAATTGTTATAAAAAAGAAAAATATATAATGATTTTAATGACTCCATCTAGGATAATTTCATGGGTAAAGTAAATAATTAATAGTAATGGAGATGAAGAACTGCGTTTACTACTTTTAAATCGCTTAGTTTGTTAATTAATAGCAGAAAGATTTAATTTGAAAGAAAAATTAAACATCTTACATGAATGGCAACACATCGGTGCGTGGAAGATAAAAATATTTTATTTCGGGTGTTGCAGCAGATTTCTTTCAAGTGAGCTTTCTGATTAAAATCGAAATATAACTGTCGTGTGCCTTGCTGAGTGGCAAGACATTGCTTTTAAATCACTGAGTTTGTTAAAGAAATTTTCATTAAGTTAGCACAAAACATATAATAAATATGAAAAGAAGCTAGAAATTTAAATTCCGGAGTTCGAGGTGCACATATTTGTATGCAGGATTATGTATGCTCAAAATTTGATGGTTGTATGTGCCTCCATTTTTCTATAATATGAAGAACATACATACAAATTCTACTTAATTCAATGAAAGGAATAGCGAATTCTATTAGCTGATTTTGCACATATTACATAAAAATTCTAAGCATGAAAACTTTAGAAACTGTACATATTTTTATAGAATATCTGCATAGAGACTGCATAAAAGTCTCTATAGAATATGTACTATCTCTGTATAGAATCTCTATGCATGCCGCTATAGAAGCTATCTCTGTAATTTTACACAATCCATATAATATTTTGATCTAATTCATAGAAAAGTTTATAGAAAATTGGACCATAATTCTAAAGGATACTGGAGATGTTCATCACTGGATTTTTTTTATAGAACTCTATAAGACATTTTCGTAAGCGTAATATCATAGCAGCAACTTAATAAACATCTGGAAAGTTTGAAAGAGAACCAAGTTAACTATTATATATGAATATATTGCATATGTGCATTTAGTAAAGATTGAAAAAATGCCTTCCAATTCTAGTTATTGGCCATTTAAAAATTAGTAGTACATTTGAAATTATGTTTCATAAAAAGTATTTCTAAATAAGACAATATTTATGTAAAGAAATGTTTTGTGAAATACGATAAATGAGGTTCTTATATGCCATTGATGTTTCTATGAAGACTTGTTAATTTTTATGTTTCTGTTACAGGCCTAATGTTTGTTCTTATAATGTGATGTCTATGGTCAAAGTTAGAAAACCATGTCTTCGAGCTTACACTAAAATCGAAAGAATACGCAAACCCAATTGCCCATACACGGACAGCTGGTGCACAGACTACAAACCAAGGTAATTTGTGAGCAATTTAAGTTGTTTTAATTTATCTTCCTAATTATCTCTTTGTTCTTTCTTTTCCCCTCCTTCTTTTGCTTTTAATGTGTGAAAGTGTTGAAGTTATTGTTTCCAGGTTGATCTGAAACTCTTGCCCCGGGAAAGAAGTTGCTTCTAATTAACGTAACAAAAAGTCTGTCATTTATTATTTGTGCCATAACAAGAATAATTATTTACAGATGGTATTTACACATTTTTAGAATGATTTCGATAAATAATTTTAAAACGCAAATATTTTGGAATAAGCATTTTTGGCAACAGCTTATTTTAAATGAGAAATATCGTCTGCTATTTTTTAATTTATTCTTCTTTCGAAATTTCGGATGTAAACACGCTGTAGAATGAAAAATAAGTTTTTACGCTTTCCGAATAGAAATATTCCTGTTTCATTAATTCAAAATCATTGTGAAATGCATGGTAATAAAATTTCTATGTGAAAAATGAGCAATAATATTAATCAAAAAGAGAAAAATCTGTCAATCATCATTTCTACATGGAAAGAAGACTCCGAACGAACACCTGAAAAAGGTTACTTATTGTTTTCAATGTTTCTGAAGTTAAATTATTGGTAACAAGAGAAAAATCTGACGACGCAGAAATCAACTGCAAAGTCTTTAAATACATCTGTAGCAACAATAAATAACATAATAAATCAAGATTTACAAATTAAAAAAGCTAAGAAACATAATGTTCACCAGCTGGTTCAACGCAGAACAACTTGTAGAACCCTGTATGAAAACTATTTAGCAGGATATAAATAGCAGGATATTGTGAACCTTGGTGAAGCATGGTTTTAACTAAATGACTGCAACGGAAAAAAAAAGGTCTATTTAATATCAAAAACGAAGAGAAGAAAATGTACAAACCTGGTTCTGTCAATGGCAAAGAGTTTCAGTAAGGGATTTATAATTCGCCGTAGGTTTCTCTTGAAAAGGGAAATTAAAGATAAAAAGAGCGGGAAAAAATTATAAAATCAACTCAACATACTATCAAGAGAAAGTTATACTTCCGATAGTTGCAAAAGAAATTCCATTTCATTGTCCCAATAACTTTCCAAGAATAAAACTTCTTCAAGACAAAGCAACAAGCCATACTCGAAACGTCATTCCTTGCATATACACCTTTTCAACATATTCTTGCGTAGTGCCCTGATGTTTCACCTATGGATTATTGTACCTTTGGTTTTTTTTAAAAAAGAACTCTTTCTAAGCGTAAACCCACCACGATTGATGGACATAGGAAAGCAGAGGAAGAGGAATGGAAATCAGTATCCCTGGAAATAACCATGCAGACAGAAAAAAAGGCTGTCCGAGCGAACATGTAAAAAAATACTATTTACATTTTAAGTATTAATAATAATAAAAAAATTATAAAAAAAAATAAAATAAAATCTCACAGATTTTAAATTACGTCCAAAAGAGCGTCTTTAAACATTTGCGTGTTACCTTTATTTAAATATCATGTTCTTCGTACTTAAACCCATAAAATTTCAGTTTAAATTTCAAAAGTTTTAAATTGAGCATATCTTTAGAATTTCAATGCACAGTCTCACGCGCTGGAGTAAAAAAATATTTTCTGTACAACGTGCCATTATGGCTTGAAATCCTTGAGTTGTATTCAAAATTCGTAAAGTTTACAAAATATGAAATCGATAATAAAATAAATTCCAAATTTCAAATTTGGGCTTCCAGATGCCCTTATTCGCAGTAGGATTACGTTGTTCAAAATTGGATGGCTCTAGGTATCGTTGTTTTATCACAATGCGAGAAACTTACATACATTTATACAGATGCTTCATTATTTAATTTTTTCAAATATAATACAGGGCGATAATATTTCGTGGCAACAGTTTGAAAAGTGAAACGAACATTCAGAGTGATTCGACGCAAAATCGCAAAACGAAAATAATAGTCGCTCAGGGGTAAAGCCCCTTTGGAATAATAAATCGTTCTAAAAATGTGTCAGCAACCTCTGTAATTTACCATGGGAAGCTGCATAAAAACGATATGTATCTCTTGAGGGCTGTGAAGATTGTCTACCCGTCCCCTCTCCCAGTTTTGTTTTTCTGCTAGCTATATCAGTTAAAGAATAACAAATGCATTGATGTATAATTAATTATATGAATGAATGGTTTCCAGTTTTCTCGAATCTTTCGTTTACGAATAACAATAAATTGATAAAAAACTGTTTTACCTAATATTAGAAGATTTTAATTAAAAAATTTTAATTTGCATGTAATAAAAAAAAATTTATCATCACTGTTTAAAAAAATGCACCCATATTTGTTGAGAAGGTACAAATAGAATGCAGTGAAAAAAAAGTGAATAAATTAAAACTCCTGAAACCCAAAGTTCATTAATTTTTTCTGTTTAATTTGACAGAAAATAGCATTTGGCCAGCATTTAATTATCAGTATTATTATTTTGGAATTTTATGAGAATATTTTAAAATTGATTCTAGTATACATAAAATATGATTATTTCAAGAGTTAATATATCCAAATATTAAACACCGAGCATTCAGTTCCTTACAGAAAAGAATAGAACGTTTTGACTGCTCCCCCTTTATTTTTAAATGAACGCTTCTTTACTACTCATCAATAAAATTAATTTTTCCAAATTTATGAATAAAAATATGTAGTAGTTTTTTTATGTTATGTTTCGACAGATTCGAATGACGAGGAACGGGCAGATTTACGTTTTTAGACGACGAATGACCATAAATCTTTCGTGGAATAGAACTTTTTCGTGAACTTAAAATAGATGTAATTCAATTTATTCAAATTTCTAATTTATGTGATAAGTAATTATTTCAAATATAATTTTGGGATTATATTTACCCTATGCGTATCTTCGTGTATAAATTTTAGTTAACATACATTTTTCTAATGTAGATGAGGGGAAGAGGAGAATATAACATCTGTTAAATATTCTTTCAGAATTATTATTTTAAATGTATCGAGAAATTTTGCACTGCTTTTTGTTTTAATTTCGATTAACTATTGTAAGGGCTATTCAAAAATCGAAGACGTTGTAGTAGAAATTTCATATCGTCTTGGGGGTAGGAGCATTAAGTCATTAGCGTACGCGAAAGGCATTTGGAAAACGTACGTCTAAATGACTAAAAATCGCGTACAGGCTTAATTAAAATTCTTCTTGTTAGTCTTTTCCGAATTCTTACTAGTCTGGACTTTTCATACGTCTGGAAGCGATCTTCCGTATTTTAATATGCACTGTAATTTGTTTTTGAATTATTCCTCTTCAATAAGCGAAAATTTTAATCATTGATTAAACAAATAATAAAAAAATAAAAATGTCAATGTCATATTCGACAACTCCGATTATCAGAAGTTATATAATATCTAAATTACCATACTGATAGATAGAGGAAGAATAATCGATAACAGGTACATACGTTAGCTGTCACTTAATTAGTCTGAAGATATCATTTTATTGGCTTTAATGGAAAACTCCGCAGCCTACGTGTATCAGTAATTGAAAAATGTGATTCGAGAAAGGATTGACAGCTTGCGTCCACACTCTTCTACCAGACAGAAATCTGTAACTACGCTGTGTATATGCGGAAAAGTGAGTGACACAATCTTAGCTTTGGATCTCGTCTCTGCTGACAGGTCGAATAACCCTGATCGTAATGAAGATAAATGACTCGAGGTAACAGTGGAAATTAAGGGGTTGTGCTCTAATATAAACTGGCGTAATTTTGCATAGTATACACTTAACAATACGATATATGAATAGTAATTTTGACGCTTGTGCTATTACTTACGTGAGCAGAGAGTGCGGAGAAAACGGTGCGCTCCGGGCAATACATATTTGGGAACCGCATTTTTCCCATTAAACATAATTTTATAGGGGTTAGCCTATAGGGTATTTCTCCCGCATTCTTAGCATGTCTTCGTGGTGTAATGACCAGCAAACTCGGCGCGTATTCGAGAGGTCCGTGGTTCAAGTCCCGCGGAGGACATTGTTCATTTTTTCAGTTTCCTAACATCGAAATAACGTAATGCCTCTACAAGTCGTACAGACTGTTTAGGTGCAAAAGAAAGATTAGAATTTATTGGTTATGGCAGAGATTGCTATAGTGATCAGCTTAAGGGGAGGGATGCTTTCATGAAGGACTAAAGTTCTCTTCGAAGGGCTTAGAAACTAAGAACTGGCCAATTGTCATGTTACGAAAGGGCACTGCTTCGTATTCACGTTGAACGTACATGAATACAGCGTTACGTGCGATGATGCATGTAGGGTAAAACATAAAAATCTCATCCAACCAAAGCATTTTTCGGAATTTGAACCTAACTGCCAGAATTCACTCATCTTAACTAATCAGTCCTCACATGAGATGGGAAGAACTGATGATCACGAAATGTTGAACTGTCTCTCAAAACTATATAAAATTTTATATTTATTAACCCATCATCTTATTATTTCTATCTTTATTGTCACTTTTTACTTTCGTTGGTTTTCCCTAAGATGCGAATTATTTAATATATATAAGAGCAGAGTTCTTGAATTTAAGAGAGAGCTTTATGCAACGGGCGTTGACCGTTTTCATGCTATTTTTGCCCACCTCTTATATTAGTTACCTTAGAATCGTCTTAACATTTCCTGGCATGTTTTATTGGCGAGACTAGAGGGCCTGAATCCCTTGCGATAGGGCTGTACCTTGCAAATTTTCATAATTTAAATACTTAAGTTTTGCGTTAGCATTTTAGGTTAGCTTGTAGGGGTTTTTCTTATTTTACATAACAAATTTATTTTAAGTTGATACCTTTTTCTAAACGTCTCAACTTCTCCTCATATTCTCTCGCCAAGATGTAAATTTAAAGTTAAATGAAGTGCTTATTTAAACGGGTGAATCTCTGAGATTCAAAGCGTGTTTCGCTAGCCAAGCGTACGTTTCGTTGTTGTTTCACTATTACGCGAGTAATCCTCTTGGCCATATTGGGTTAATCATCACACCGGTTCGGTTTTTGTGAGTCCACCTGTTAGGCGTAACTTAAGTGCTATTTAGCACTATTATTTTAGGTTTGACTTAAATTATTATTCTACGATTTAGTTTGATCGCAAGTTGGACGGGGCTTTTGTAACGCACGAAGACCTTGCTTTTCTGTTTACTGTTTGAATTAATTTTTTAAGGGTTATTTTTAAACCATTCTTCTTGAGTCAGTAGTTTTCTTCACGCCTGTGCGAGAATTCGCCAGGTCATTTTAGGATCTACTCTAGTTTATGTGGAACAAGAGAGTAAGACTCTATGAGCTTAAATCTCGAAAGCAAAGGTCAATTATGTTGTAATACATGAGCTGTGTATTTATTTCGTTTGGAAATCCAATGAAAGGTTTATTTTAAATGGCTGTCAGAGTTCGTAATTACTTTTATTAAATGTCTAAGTCACTTGAGTAGTGACTTGAATCTACGCGGACCAGAACTTAGCCTGAAGTCCACATCGGTTCTGTGTAATCCGAGATAACCAAAGGGAAAACATGAGCCGAAGACACCATTTGCACGATGAAATGCGTTGGAGTGCAAAGCGCCGGAATGTTGCAAGCTGGTGCAAGAATCCTCTGTAGCGAGAAAGTTTGTAACGTTGCGCGCCTCCAACTTGCACGCAACCAAGAGGTGACTGTGAAAACTGGATAAAACACAGAGTCTTGTGAAGGGTTTAAGTCCCTTTTATAAACGTAAAAATTACATTGCGTGCTCTTGGACGCTCACAGACGCGCCACTCGGCGGTCAAAAAAAAATAACCTGAAGAACTAAAGACAAGACTGTAACTACGAGGTCTAAAATAAACTAACTCACCGCGTTTTAAATACCGCTGCTAATTCAGAGCTTGAAGTCTGAAGATTAACACTACTTCCCGCCAAGCACATAGGCCGAAACGCGGGGTTCTTCAATTTCTCGCTAACTACCTCCGCGCTCGTGAAGTAAGAATATCACACACCGAACTCGTTTCCTTCTAGTTAATCATAATACTTCCGCTGATAATTTGAATCCTTGCGCGTTCTACTCAAATTACATATTCTGGCATTGGCAGTTCCAGGGGAAAGTAAGGCTTGACAGGAAAGATAGTTTAAACTTAAAATAAATGTTAGTTAAAATAAATATAAACCCTACAAGTTAAATAGTGTCATCAGTAGGCTGTGGAGTCATTGCCAGAGGGATCAAAACCATTGTAGAAGGCGTGAGCATGGACACCGGAGAATTACCAGAACGGCAGACAATCGCTTCTTGTTGCTATGTGCAAGATGCCGTAGAACACTAAGAGTACTACAAATGGCGTCGCATCTCTCTCTTGCTGCAAGACGGCCCATATCCTGCTAAACTGTGGCGCGTTATTGCATGAAGGCGAATTCTACTTCCGACGACCTGTGATTTGTGTCCCTTTATCCCCATCACATGTTAGATTGGGCGAGTGCACATCGCAGTTGGTCACCAGAGTAATGGGGCCACGTGCTATTTACGAATGCGTATTCAGAATGATTTCCGAAGGGCAATGATAGGGCGAAAGCCAAGGGCACGTTATCGAGCGCCAAATATAATCGAAAAAGAGACTATTACAGAGCAGGAGGTTTACTTGTATGGGCTTGGATCCGTCATTAGCGTAATGTTTCTATTGCACATTTTTCCGACCCATTTGGTCTTTCCCCATGTGATGATCGTAATACATGTATTTTTGTAATGGCTGCTTTATTGTTTGCTGTGTGGTCTAGAAACGCCACACCAAGCTCTTTGATCAATATCACGCATATTCATTAAATAGTTTTTGTTTTATTCTGTATTTTGCTACTTTTGCTCATTTTTTAGGAGGATTATAGTATAATAATCGATTACAACTTAATGCACAGTTTATTACAGCTTGATATTGGCAGATACTAGAGAAATGAAATTTTATAGGAATAAATATTGGTCCTTTGAAAATGTCATTTAATATATGATCTATTGCTTTACTGTACTACAGCCATCTTTGTTTCCATAACAGGAATGCAGGTCCATTCCGTCCACTGCCTTTGGCTCTCAGGATCGAAGTGAAACAGCCAGGTTTCATCACACGTGATGACGCCATGAAAGCATTCTGGACAAACTCCAAGAAAAACGTTGCTAAAGGTTATCGTACACCTCCTTTGTGACTTGAATCATCTCGCTTGTCGAGAGCCGTGTAACCAAACGAGCACAAATAACAAGCGGGTACAACCAAGCGAGCACAAATCACTCCTAACTGTGGCTGGTCCTGAATGTTACAGTCACCATACCCAAACCTCTGAAGCCATTGACACGCATTACTTCGGCTCATTGTGTTATCCCCATAACCTAGCAGTAGCTCACTGTGGATCGATGTTGCTGAGTTTTCGGTTACTGCATGTTGGCAATAGGGTTTACAAATTAAAAGGTGAATCACATTTATCGTCCATGGTACCTTACTTGAAACAAGATATAAAAATCAAATACGTATCAGGTGAAGGACTAAAGCTTCTACCTACACTACTTCATTTATCTAATGCTTAACATTAGCGAGCTACCAGTGGATTGTGCATTACGTTTTGACTGATCTTTGTACTAGGTTTATTTTATGACTGTGTTTGAATTATATCTCTTTATTTTCTTTTCCAGAACGATATATTATACTGGATACACGCACAAACTTGAACCCCGGTATCATACCATATACAAATGCTGTTCGGGATGTTTTCCTCTAGACAAAAAGGGATGCATCTACGGTAAGTGCGCTTGGAAACTTTTCCAAAATCTTGTCATAATTCATGTATGCCAGAATTAATTACTTACTTGACAATTGATAAATTGCTGTTTGTTTCAGATGAATGCAGCGGTCCAGCGACCAACTTTCCCGCTTGTGACGAAGAATTACCATCTACTGTTACTCATTGTGTGTGTGATGTTGGGCGACAGGGTACCAGAATGGGAAAATATTCTCTTTGCAATAAAAGTAAGAAGTGATAGACTGCTTTTCTTCTGCTTCAAATACTGTGGTGACGTTTTTATTACTTTAATATGAAGCAAAATTAATGATTTTTGCTAATTCAAAACAATTTATAATGAACTGTGAAATTACAATTTTGAAACAGTGTGTAGTTTGTAATTTTAGTAGCTAGGAATCCAGTGAGCCCACTTCCCCGTGCTGAGGATTCCATTTAAAATATTTGTTAATATATATTTGTTAAGCATTTATAGCAAAACCATTCCTCATGATATATCAGGTATCCCTTAATAGTATATCAAGGCATACCTACATAGAACGTTACTCGTACAGACTGATTTTCAAAGTCATAGAACTTAAATTTTAAGGTTCTCTATCGAAAAAAATAGTAATAAAACGTGAAACACTAAGATTATGAGAATTGCGAAAGCTTTAGGAAGGAGTGGATTCGAATAAATGTCACTAATTACGGAAGATGCATTTTTTGTGAATGTGAAAAGTTCAGGAAAATGTCATTCGCCAACTGAAGAAGCTTTATGGGTAATGCTGGTTCACCTTTTAATTTGTAAAAAGGAGTCTTCATAAAGATGCAGATATTTTTATGTCGCGACATTGCTTAGCACGTAGGATTCTAGTTAACTACGATGTTGTTGTTGTTAATATGACTTATCTCTTTTGTCTGACCGAAACATCAGAACAAGCCCGCGAAATTCATCTCAGCAAGGAGTGCATCGTTAACAACAGCCTTGAGCATCATGCAGGTGACAGTATTACTTTGTTCATCGCCCCCCCCCAATTTTAATGGAGAGCTCCACCGTGGGACGGGTCTGAGGGTCTCCTATCCTTTTCCCTCTACCACCATCACCAACATCTCGAGAAGACTTTCGGCTCGCAGCATGTTTAGAGTGCCTCCATGCCGCAAAGACATTATGCATTCACCAACATCCATGCCTTCTCCGGGATTCGAACACGGGCCCTTTGGTACGGCAGTCAGAGTCACTAACTACTATTCCGGATAGGTAGCTTACTACGATGTTTATCAATCAAGTAAAAATTCTGTTTGTGTGGCGGGTGTCCCGGCATATAAATTACCGTAACTTTGTAAAGGTTGTTTCCTCTCTTCCAGATTAGAAACTCACATGCTAATAAGACAACTGACACTTTTATTCTGCTCCCCGTTATGATTATTTCTGTCTTTTCAAAAGCATAAAAGTACCAATAGTTTTATCATGACACATAATTATATTGGCATCTCTGCTAGCTCAGATCAAATACGTTTCATTGCGCATTCGAAATAAGATAGCCAGCAAAACGAAGCGATAATTGTTAGTTACAATAACAATAATAAGTAATCTATTACCCAAGGTAATTGTACTCAAAATTACTTTGGATTTAATCGTGTGGAGAGGGAAAAACAATATTTTTTATTAGTCTTACAGCTGAATTAGTTTACGCGAGATACTGATGATGTGAATTTTGATGAAACAAAAAATCCATTTCTTTGGGAACTGGTTTATAAAAAGTAATCAGGGCAAAAGTAGCATTTTCTAAACCCTCCCTGATTATTCAATGCGTAACAGATCAGTGCTTCGAAGAATATCAACTTGCTCGAAATAAGTCTAAATAACGTCTACAGTTTTTCGAAGTTTGTGGCAAATAAATAAAAACATTTTTCTCTTGTTTCTTCCATTTTTCCATTTTTGATGATTTTTATGTGTAGTTATGCAGAAAAACAGCTGAAAATTCTTTTTTTTTTTTAAATTTTCCAGATGTTTCTTAGGTACTGAGTAGTAGCCAGATTAAATTAAACTCAATTTGACTTAACTATTCAGTACCATACTGTACACTATAATATTTACTTAGTCAACTCTACGTTATTAGTCCAAAGGGGCAATTTGCCCAGAAGGACTATTAATTTCGTTTTGGCATTTTGCGTTGATTTATTATAAGCGTTGTTTCACTTTTCAAATTGTTTCCACCTAATATTATCTCCCTGTATTGTTTTTAAAGAAATTAAATAATGAAGAATCTGCGTGAATGTATATATATTTCTCGCATTGTAATGAAACAACGGTACCTAGAGCCATCCAATTTTGAATAATGGTAATCCTACTGCGAATATGGCATCTGGAAGCCCAAATTTGAAATGTGGAATTTGTTTTATTATCGATTTCGTATTTTGTAAAACTTTAACGAATTTTTGATTAACAAACTCAGAAACAGAATTTCAAACCGAGCAATGGCAACATTGAACAGAAAAAAACATTTTTATCTCCAGCGCGTGGGTGTAGAAAATATCGGAAATTCTAATTTGTGTATCGGTATTATTCTAATGTGTTTTGGGATACCGCAAATTCTAAAGATATGCTAATTTTAAAATTATTTTGCGGTATTGCTTGAACTGAATTTTATGGTTTATGTGGGAAGAACATGACATTTAATAAATAAAGGGAATACACAAAATGTTAAAAAAGGGCCCCTTTGTACGTAATTTAAAATCTGAAACCTTTCTGATTTTTTTTAATTAATGTCACCACACGCTTTCGTCTAATAATGCAAACTCTCGTCAGTATAGGAGCAGCTTCATTATGGCCAGCAGAAATTGCTAAACTTCTATCATGAATTTAGATTCTTACTCGTATTTAACCCTAGAACAGTAACCTGTGTAAATTTTACTTACACAACAATGAAATGCGCCCACAAAGGACTAGAAAATATTGTTTTTCTTGTTCACGTTTTAAAAGAAAGTATACTACTACTTATTGTGGTAAATGTAAAAAGCCAATATGCGGTGAACGTCAGCAGAAATTCTGTTTTAACTTGTGGCAATATGTTAGTGTAATTTTCATCGTTATGTTTTCGTTTTTTACTCATTAAGTATGCTTATTTTGCTTAATTTTATTACAAAGACGTGTTTAATAAATAATTTTTTGAATAGAATTTAAATGTATGCTCATTTACAAGAACTACGTTTTTTTAAATATGCTGTAAATGTGTTTTAAATATGGTAGTGAGTAAATTTTACGCATGGTTAGTAGTAATGTACTAAACGTAAGGGCTAGTATTCTAGGGCTAAAATTATTCCCATTTATATATTCTGATCAACTAAACGAAATAATAGAAATATGGGACAGCTTTTAAGATAAGATGTAACTTCTTGATTAAAATAAACTTTTCGAAGGACTTGAACATATTTTCTTGCAACAATTTTCGTAATTACGGATACTTACATCGTACATCAGTTTTCCATACTTTCGCGTAAGTAACAAGTCCATAGTTATAACAAATATGTTTTTAAAGTGTTTTTATGATTAATATTGTTTTATTAATTTTTGACAATGAAGAGTAAGTTACAAATTTTTCCACTAGATATGACGTATTGTGTTGCCGTTTTACGAAAATGCCATATCTAGAGGTCCATTAGATATGGCATATTACATATACGTTCACTAGTTATGATGCACTACATTTTCGTATTTTGTGTGTAGGTAACTACAGAACCATGGATATCATATTGCTACGACTCTACAAAATCGGAAAATGAACGTTTTTCTTACGTGTACATAAAAATTTCATTCAAAATTCAAGTTTTTAGAAACAAAACCTACTCTACCAATTTTTAACAAAACTGATTTCCATACGAAAGTAATTCCCTGGCAAATAAAGCTGAGCAGCAGTCACTGAACCTGTAAAGTAGTTCGACCCGCTTTCAGATATCGCAAACAGGGTGCTTGCATTATAAGGTATTTCTCCCGCCTTCTTAGCATGCCTACGTAGTGCAGCGGTCAGCACGCTCGACGCGTATTCGAGGGACCCGTGGTTCGAGTCCCGGTGAGGGCATTCCTCAATGAGTCCTAATGACTCTACAGCATAAACATTTTCATGGTTCTTCCCGTATGTAACGTGGATACGAGCCAGTACTCTTTGAAAGTCCTTCACGAAGGCATCTCTCGCTTAGACAGATAGCCCTCGCGTATTTTGCTTATAAGGTATTTTCTCCCTCCTTCCAGCATGCCTTCGTGGTGTAACAGTAGCACACTCGGCACGTATTCGAGAGGTCCAGAGTTCGAGTCCCGGCAAGGGCACTGTACATTTTTAACGGCTGTAGTTTCAAAATAACATACTGCTGTTAAAATAATTTAATGACTCTACAGCATAAACATTTTCATGGTTCTTCCCGTATGTAACGTGGATACGAGCCAGTATTCTTTGAAAGTCCTTCACGAAGCCATCTCTCGCTTAGACAGATAGCCCTCGCGTATTTTGCTTATAAGGTATTTTCTCCCTCCTTCCAGCATGCCTTCGTGGTGTAACAGTAGCACACTCGGCACGTATTCGAGAGGTCCAGAGTTCGAGTCCCGGCAAGGGCACTGTACATTTTTAACGGCTGTAGTTTCAAAATAACATACTGCTGTTAAAATAATTTAAAATAACATAATGCATAAAATAACATAATTTAGAATAACATAATGCAAAATAAAATGATGCTATACATGCTGAACAAATGAAACTAAACTTTGGTATATAAAAAGGTAACTTTCCTTTCGAACTTCTAGGTATTTCATTCCCTGCAGTCAAATCGGCGCATTTTTAATAGGCTGTCGCCTGGTCTGCCTCAATAAAACACGAGCGGTTCACGTCGCATTCAATTTCCGGAAGCTGTAGTATAGTCTGCTATTTTAGAATAGTCACTTCAAAGGCCATTTCTTTTCCCCAAGCCATGTCACCGAAACGTGTAAAGGACTGCTGCGGTAAAAAAAGTCAAATCCTCTTATTTTTTTAAATTCTAGTAATTCCTTTTGGGTGGTCATCATCGTAAATGAAGGCAGGGTCGTTATGACCTTGAAATGTCTATTTTATAGTAACAGTATAATTGCTTGCGCGAGCAGCTTTCCCCGTAATTAACATGAGCCCGCTTCACTTAAGAAGCTCACTACGAAAGCGACGTTTTCATGTACCCAATAACCCTGATTTCCTTTACTATAATTAACAAATTCAGCCTAATCCAATGTTACGTACA